AGTACACTAACGAGCACTGTAGTATAGTACACTGTAGTACACTGACGGACATTGTAGTATAGTACACTGACGTACACTGTAGTACACTGACGGAGACTGTAGTACAATGACACACTGTAGTACACTGACGGACACTGTAGTACTCTGACGGACACTGTAATACACTGACGGACACTGTAGTACACTGACGAACACTGTAGTACACTGACGGACACTGTAGTACACTGACGGACACTGTAGTACACTGATGGATACTGTAGTACACTGACGGACACTGTAGTACACTGACGGACACTGTAGTATAGTACACTGACGAACACTGACGAACACTGTAGTACACTGACGGACACTGTAGTACACTGACGAACACTGTAGTACACTGACGGGCACTGTAGTACACTGACGGACACTGTAGTACACTGACGAACACTGTAGTACACTGATGGACACTGTAGTACACTGACGGACACTGTAGTACACTGACGAACACTGTAGTATAGTACACTGTAGTACACTGACGGACACTGTAGTATAGTACACTGACGTACACTGTAGTACACTGACGGAGACTGTAGTACAGTGACGGACACTAGTACACTGATGTACACTGTAGTACAGTGACGGACACTAGTACACTGACAGACACTGTAGTACACTGACGGACACTGTAGTACACTGACGGACACTGTAGTACACTGACGGACACTGTAGTACACTGACGGACACTGTAGTACACTGACAGACACTGTAGTACACTGGCGGACACTGTAGTACACTGACGGACACTGTAGTACACTGATGGACACTGTAGTACACTGACGGACACTGTAGTACACTGACGAACACTGTAGTACACTGACGGACACTGTAGTACACTGACGAACACTGTAGTATAGTACACTGTAGTACACTGACGAATACTGTAGTACACTGACGGACACTGTAGTACACTGACGAACACTGTAGTACACTGACGGACACTGTAGTACACTGACGGACACTGTAGTACACTGACGAACACTGTAGTACACTGACGGACACTGTAGTACACTGACGAACACTGTAGTACACTGATGGACACTGTAGTACACTGACGGACACTGTAGTACACTGACGAATACTGTAGTACACTGACGGACACTGTAGTACACTGACGAACACTGTAGTACATTGACGAATACTGTAGTACACTGACGGACACTGTAGTACACTGACGAACACTGTAGTACACTGAAGAACACTGTAGTACACTGACGGACACTGTAGTACACTGACGAACACTGTAGTACACTGATGGACACTGTAGTACACTGACGGACACTGTAGTACACTGACGAGCACTGTAGTATAGTACACTGTAGTACACTGACGGACACTGTATTATAGTACACTGACGTACACTGTAGTACACTGACGGAGACTGTAGTACAATGACACACTGTAGTACACTGACGGACACTGTAGTACTCTGACGGACACTGTAATACACTGACGGACACTGTAGTACACTGACGAACACTGTAGTACACTGACGGACACTGTAGTACACTGACGGACACTGTAGTACACTGACGAACACTGTAGTACACTGACGGACACTGTAGTACACTGACGGACACTGTAGTACACTGACGGACACTGTAGTACACTGACGGACGCCGTCGTGGAGGATTCGTTATAAATGACAATAATAATAATAATAATAATTATGATAATATAATAATAATAATAATAATAATAATAATAATAATAATAATAATAATAATAATAATAATAATTATAATAATAATAAGAGGAAGAAGAAGAATTAAATAATAATAATAATTAAATAATAATTATTATTGAGAAGCTCTAAACCCGTAGAGTCTTTTACAGCTGTGAATGAGAGGAAGTTTTGATCCGAGAAAAGGGAAGAGCAACTCCACAATTCCTCGGATCGAGAGCTCTCTCCTATTCATCACAGACTCACCACTGCCTCAACAGTGACGTGACTCATCACAGACTCATCACTGCCTCAACAGTGACGTGACTCATCACAGACTCATCACTGCCTCAACAGTGACGTGACTCATCACTGCCTCAACAGTGACATGACTCATCACAGACTCACCACTGCCTCAACAGTGACGTGACTCATCACAGACTCATCACTGCCTCAACAGTGACGTGACTCATCACAGACTCATCACTGCCTCAACAGTGACGTGACTCATCACTGCCTCAACAGTGACATGACTCATCACAGACTCACCACTGCCTCAACAGTGACGTGACTCATCACTGCCTCAACAGTGACGTGACTCATCACTGCCTCAACAGTGACATGACTCATCACAGACTCACCACTGCCTCAACAGTGACGTGACTCATCACAGACTCACCACTGCCTCAACAGTGACGTGACTCATCACAGACTCATCACTGCCTCAACAGTGACGTGACTCATCACAGACTCATCACTGCCTCAACAGTGACGTGACTCATCACAGACTCATCACTGCCTCAACAGTGACGTGACTCATCACTGCCTCAACAGTGACGTGACTCATCACAGACTCACCACTGCCTCAACAGTGACGTGACTCATCACAGACTCACCACTGCCTCAACAGTGACGTGACTCATCACAGACTCATCACTGCCTCAACAGTGACGTGACTCATCACAGACTCACCACTGCCTCAACAGTGACGTGACTCATCACAGACTCACCACTGCCTCAACAGGACGTGACTCATCACAGACTCACCACTCCCTCAACAGTGACGTGACTTATCACAGACTCATCACTGCCTCAACAGTGACGTGACTCATCACAGACTCATCACTGCCTCAACAGTGACGTGACTCACCACTGCCTCAACAGTGACGTGACTCATCACAGACTCACCACTGCCTCAACAGTGACGTGACTCATCACAGACTCACCACTGCCTCAACAGTGACGTGACTCATCACAGACTCACCACTACCTCAACAATGACTCAACAGTGACTCACATTAGGGGCAGAGACAAGAGATGAATCACAAAGTACCCGCAGAATTTCTCATATAAGACATTATTTTCCTCCTTCCCATATCCCTATCCCTTTTATCCTAACCTCTGTCCTACCCTCTATCCTCCCCTCTATCCTACCCTCTGTCCTCCCCTCTATCTCACCCACTATTCTTCCCTCTGTCCTCTCTATCCTCCCTTCTATCCTACCTTCTATCCTACCCTCTATCCTCTCCTCCATCCTCCCCTCTATCCTACCCTCTATGTTCCCTTGTATCCTACAGTCTATCCTACCCTCTATCATACCTCTATCCTACCCTCTGTCTATCCCTCTGTCCTAACCTCTGTTCTCCACTCTACCTTCCCCTCTATCCTACTCTATGTCTTCTCCTCTATCCTTCCTTCTATCCTCCCCTCTATCCTCCAATCTATCTTCCCCTCTATCCTACCCTCTGCCCTCCCCT